TGTCCGCAGCCCAAAAGTCATGCTGTGGGAAGATTGTGTCATCCTCCAGCTTCTCACAGAGGCTAGAATTCCTGAAAATGTGGGTGTTGTGAGCCCTGCCCAACCACCCGACAAAAATGTCCAAAAACTATCCATGGTGGTTGACCAGAGCCTGAAGCACCATCAAGAAATAGCCCTTTCAGTTGATGTATTAGGAGGCTCAATGTTGTGGTGCTCGGATGGGAATATGGATTCTATCTAGGGCAGCTCCGCAGTTCGGGAAGCCGAGGGCGGCAAATTCAACCATGATGGGGTCCAGGACTCCCAGGCGGATGACCCTGCACTGCAGGATGGAGTTGATGTCCCTCATCACCTGCAGAAGGAGACAAACAAACACACAAAACAGAGAATGAGAGGGGGTACCTGAGCCCTTGGGAGATCCCCTTCCCCCACATTCCTCCCACCCTCAAATACCCCAGAAGCCATTCCCTATGAGGTTCCCCCCCAGCAGCAGGGCTGTGTGAGGATGGGATGGCACAACCCCCCGAGGATGGGGTTTTGCCCCCACCATCAGCCCATCTCCGCACCCTCCACCCCCTTTCCCTAGGGTCCCCCATTCCAGTACTTCCCTCCCCCCCAGGGGCTGCAACCCAAGAGTGCCTTACCTCCATGAGGAGGGCCCCAACAGTGGACCCTCCCATGCCGAACTGGTTGCCCACAGAATAGTAGCTGTCTGGTATGGCAAGCTTCCAGTTGGTGATGGTGACCCACTTCACCAGACGTATGGCGGGTTGTATCTGGGTGTCCCGTCATTGAAGGGCAGGGGCGAGTCAGGCTCACAGCTCCATGAAGGTGGCTTTCCTTATGCAGAAGTTTTGGAGCCACTGCTGGTCATCCCACCACTCCATGACCAGCTGGTCCCACCAGTTGGAACTGGTGTCCAGCCACCAGAACCGTCTCTCCACTGTGGGGTGCAGTTGCAAGGGCCTTGCTCCAGGACACAGGCAGAGGGTCTTGATGATAAGCTCGGTGTTGCGCTCCTGCAGGGCCATGAAGGCAGCCTGCACAAACTGCTGCAGAAACTGCAGTATAGCAGTGAGGGGCCATCGCACGCCCAGAGGCAGCTCCGGCTCCATGGCAAGGAGTGTGCTGTGGTGTCCAAACGCTGGGCAACCAGAGCATGCACTGCAAATACTTTGCTGTCCCTCAGGGTATGTCTACACTACCACCCTAGTTCGAACTAGGGTGGTAATGTAGGCAACCGGAGTTGCAAATGAAGCCCGGGATTTGAATTTCCTGGGCTTCATTTGCATAAAGCCAGGAGCCGC